TCCCCAGAGTGCCTCTTTGCGCTTTTTTTTCCGTAACAGTTGAGCTCATAGAAAAGTCAGTTTTTGCATGACTAGACCTAACTTTTTTGAGGTTCCAGTGATTTGGCATTCGGAAAAGTTAAAAAGCTGACAGAGACGTGCATACGTTCTATTGTTTGATAGGTGGCGGAGTAGGACTGCCTGCCATAGTGCTCCCACCGCCCCTACGCATCTCAATAACATCGAACCTCCACGATATTTGATTTCCAGACGCTATTTGATAATCGCAATGTCCACGGTTGTTTTTGGTTGAAAGTCCGTGGATTGATCTGTGACTTTTGGGCACGCAATTGAAGCTCCGAGGTGAAGTTTCCAGTGGCAAGAGGAGAATCTGTGACAGTTTGTGATGAGGTTGTTGCTTGCAGACTAATTAATCCGAGGCATGAAGTGCTGATATCGACGCGTATGGCCCAGCTAGAGCGCCAGCAGCAGGCCAACAACTGGTGGTTCCAGCAGCAGTCAGTGGCACCGAGAAGAAACCTAATCGGCCTTGATATTGTTGCGGGTCGCATCGCATCACAACCTTTGGTTATAATTCCACGCACTCACCAACAGCCGATTGTGGAACTTGCCATGGTGAGGAGTATTTTCCAGTGTGAGGATCTGCAAAAAAATACCTCCTTCAAGTTGTCTCTGTTTTATGCGTTTTTTGCAGCAATGCAGTGCGAAAAACGCATATTGACGAAAGGTTTTCTGTTTGTTTGTGTCTGTGTGTGCGCATGGCCTCTGTGCCGATTTTTCTTCTCGAGATCGGCAAAAGCTACAGGGCTGAAACTTTGGGGCCTTAATCTACATGCAAGTACGGGCCCCTATCCCCAAAATGGGCGGTCTTTCCTGCGTGGTACCCACGTAAGAGCTCGCAAAAGTTTTTTACAGGTAAGTTGATAACTCACGAACCAGAAAAGCTAAAGGGCTGAAATTTTAAGGGAATGTCCCTCATCCGAGTAGGTATTGATGAGCTCAAACCCAGCCCCCAGGCAAGTGTTGTACCCGCGTACGGGCCCGCCAAAATTTTTCCCGGGTAAGTTCATAACTCGGGGATCTGAGAGGCTAAAAAGCTGAGATTTTAAGGGGATGTTCCCCGTCCAAGTAGCTATTAGTGTGCTCAAACCCAGCCCCCGAATAAGAGTGGTACCCGCGAACGGGACCGCCAAGATTTTCTCGGGTTAGTTGATAACTCGAGTACCTGAGAAGCTAAAGGAATGTAATTTTAAGAGGATATATCCCGTCCACCTAAGTTTCATGCAGCTCAAACCCAACCTTCGGGTATGCCTGGCAAACACGCACGGGCCCGTAAAAATTTTTTTCCAGTAAGTTACTAACTCAGGAGCCAGGAAAGCTAGAAAGCTGGAATTTTAAGGGGGTTTTTCCTGACAGTTCTGGCGGCCAGTCTTAATTTGTTTAGCTAGAAGCATTTGCCGAAAAAGCCGGT